CCTCATTTCACCCACCTCGGAAGGATGGAAGGCTGAGTCAACCTTGAGCCGGTGAGATTAGAACCTCTGAACTGCAGATAACAGTCAGCTGAAGTTGTCTGCAGTATTGCACTCTATCCACAGCGCCACCTCGGCTCTTAAAGTTTTTAAAGCTGGGAAGGCAAAAATGAGCACAGTATACAGCCTTCACTTTCTTCTCCTCTGAGATATCTCTCCACACATTGTGGGAGATCATGGGAACCTTCCTTATCAGCAAGCAATTCAATGCACCTCTCACCATTTTGATCCATCAAGGCGAAAGGGACTGTAGAATACACCAAAATTCAAGAAGGACGAACTTGATCAGATGAAAAGCTTTCTCTGATTGGACCTCCTCATTGTTATCCACTTTTCTTTTAATCTGCAGGTGTAAAAGTGGCATCATTGCAAAAGAATGCACCCGAACACAAAACACGGTTTGTGGGGAAAAACGAGATAACACAAAAGGTAACTATTTATTTGATTAATGAACTATGTTTGATCATGTTGTGGTCCACCGGAGGGTCTGCAGAGCTGGCACCATAGTTGGACAGTGAGGAGGTTGGGGACGCTGTTTTGACTCTTTGCTCCATGTGGCCTTGCCAAGCTAATTGTCAATGAAGTCTTTGGCAGTGCTTCAAGGAAGATAAAGGTGGGTGCTTATCAGCTTTATTCCGAAGGACTTTGGCAGACTTCTGTCGGACTCTTTACAAACTATTTGTGACTCATTACGGGCTGTGAATGAAACATAATTCACAGCCTTTGAAATAAAAAAGGGATTATTGGGACTAAGCATCTGATTTTACTGTGTCAGGAAGCCTAGGTCAGAACAGATTAATGCTCCAGAAAGGAAGGGACACAAGGGGTAACTAAGGAGCACAACTTCACAATGGAAGCCCCACCTCTTTTTGTGATCTGTGTGCATCTTTGATTAATGATTGTATCTTTTATCTTGAGTTTGCTTGATACCCCTCCCTGTTGAAGCCCATGGGAAGAACTGGATTTGAATGTATGCAAGGCATACATTTCAGCCCATTGAGGCTCTAATAGCCAGTCTGTCCAAAACTCTTTCTCTGCCGTTACTTCCTTCGCATCATTCAATACCCTTCATGGTATTGGATCTGGGTACTTGAGAGACCGCCTGCTGCCAATTACCTCCCACAGACCC